CTTGAAATCCAGATTTCTGCATGAGTCTCCTTAAATTTTAATATTGACTCAATTTCTATGAACTAAATATATCTATGAGAGTAGAAAACATGCTTCCGGCTGGGGTTGTAGCTCAGTGGTAGAGCACTTGCCCCTCACTTTGAGGCATTGGGTTTGATCCTCAACACCACATAAAAAATACACAGAGGTATTGTGTCCATCTACAACTAAAAAATACTTAAAAAAAGATGTTTCAACATTGACTAGTATTCCAATCAAAAAAACCCTGCTTATTAAACAAGAATTGTTCAACTATGTTGCTATTAAATCAAATGTATTTCAAATATTTAGGAAATAAAGGGGGTTGATGAGACTTGAAATAAAGAAAACTAAATGTATTCATGAATATGTCAACATGAAACCCACCATTATTTATAACTGACTCACATGTGATAGACAAGTGCTCTAGCATGGGCCACAACTCCAGCCCCTAAAATAAGGTCTTTTGAAAGGAATAATAAAATTGATATCATCCTAGCCAGACAGGACTAATGAAAACAGAAAGAGAGTTGAAATAACAAAAAGGGGAACATTATAGCATATTTAATAGCTAGCAAAAAATAAAGGACTATAATAAATACTTTTATGCCTAGATGAACTAGACAGATTGTTTTTCACGTTATTTGACAAATGCAACTTACTGATTAGGACCCATGGAGTAACAAAAATCTGTGCAGTTCAACCTCTGTTAAATAAATTAAATTTGTCATTAAAAGCCAGGCTATAAAGAAATATTTGAGTAAACAAAAATTACTTAGGAACTGCAACATTTAGAGAAAAAAATAATAACAATCTTACAAAGACCTTTCAATTAAAAAAATAAAAAAACCAAATTGTTTTATAAAATAAACATACTATCGGCACTAAAACCTCAGGAGATTAGAGGAATTATTAACACTCCTGATGAGCCTATATGGGAAAAAAAATCAAAACTTAAAATAATTAGCAAATATAATGCAGTTGTTCCCTCAGACTTAACAATGTGTCTGTCTCCTCTTACAAGAGCACAGCAAAAGGGGCGTGGGGGGGGGGGCTCTGGAGAACTGCTGCATCATGACCTTGGTGTTCTAAAGAACGGTCTTTCGTGCTTCATGTGTTGAGTGTAAGTGAACTTTAGTCACTGCACAAGTCTCTGGGAAGAAGAAATTTGGCCTGTGGTTTTAACAGGTTTAAAACATAGTTGTTAGATGCCTTCTGGTAGATTCTGGTTTCTCTTCTTCCCCTGCAAAGGGTCACTCAAGAAGCCTTCGACAACAGTTCCTTCTGAACCCCACGGTGGCGCTGTCAGGGTGCTGCCGCTACACCTTGGGGAATTACCCACCTGTGTGCTGCTACATTGGAAGTGGGAAGACAGAGCGGATGGGAAGTGCCAACGGAAAGTTGAAGGAAACTGTGTATTTTCCCTGGGAAGAGAAGATAACTTCGTTGTTGAAATCTCACACATAAGTCTTTCAGGAACCAGAACCAGTACTGGGACAAAGGCCCGCGGAGTGTGCTTTTACCCAAAGAGAGAAACGCCACCGCCAGCACCCCACCCGATCGCTACCAGCAAAATTTGGGAACTAGTGCTTACCTCTCCTCCAGTGAGCCTGGAGTTAACCTCGAGAGTCCACCGAAAAAGCAGAGAGCATGGGGAATCCCGTGTTCTTCTGCCTTAAAAGCTATAATCAAGAGGTGGATGAGGACCCAGTCCAGTGTGGGCAGAAACAAAAGTACAACAGGAAGAGCAGCCCTCTCCAAGCGGCTTCCAGCAAGAAAAACCTCTTCCCTTTGTGAGCAAAGGAACTGTTAAAAAGTCCCTTCCACCGGGAGCAGACAAGCTTGTTTAAGGATTTACATGCAGGTCTGCACTGCTGAGCGCACACAATGGGCGCCTGTTCTGGCCCAGAGCTTTCCCAGGGCACGCTGCTTATTCCTGGCTGCTCCTCCATTGAGAGTGACTGAGCCCAGAGAAAACTGATGGTGCAGAGGAGTGGATCCCCAAGAGCCCATCATCAGCTCCTTGTAACTGCAGCGTTTCTGTGGTGGTGCGCTATCTAATCTGAGCCACAGCTGCAGGAAGAGGGCTCTGACTGCATGCTGTGAACTACCAGGAGGAGTAAAGGATACTATCATAAACATTTCATGTACCAGAAATATTCAACTTGATGCATACCATCATGAAAATCAACTGAGAACAAAAAGAGCAAGAGCACATAAGTACTCAGCCTATTTCATTTCTTCACAGAATTTAGGAAATAAGAGTGTGGAATGAAAAATATGGCTGAATTGGAAATTTTTGCATGACAGAATTTTAAATTCTGGGTTCTTTCTTGTAAAAGGCATCTTGGCAGATTTTCACTAACTTCCTGGCAGTAATTTAGAGGGATGTTCAAACTAGAGCAAAAATCAAGCTTTCCAGAAAGATTTATATCGAAGCCTTTGTAATCAATTCAGTCTTCCTTGTCACTGACCTGTCCTAAATGAAGATGGGAGTCAGGTGAAAATTCGCAGCAATTTGACATTGCCAGGACATTCAGGTTTGATGAGGGTGTCTAATTCAGGTTACCCTTGTTGAGAAGGGTGGCTTCCTCTTCTGAACTGCCAAAGTCTCCTGGATCTTATGCTAACAAGTAGTCAGGTGCAGTTGGATAAGGTTCACAGTGGGGTGTATTTGAAGGTACATATATCAATAACATGCTTAAAGCTTTAGCATCCAAGCAGTATAAAAATATTCTTGACAATGTTGCCTAATAATCAAAGTAATACTTTTAATATTTATTTTTCCTTCAAAAAATTGTAAATAAACATTAAGAAGTAAATAATGGTAAAGCTCTAGTAATCTATTATATTGTCATGTAATTAAACATTTATAATACTGATGAACATATATGTTCTTCTACCTTTATACCTTCTACTTTTATATAAACACACATTTGTATTTTGAAGGTATATTTATTAAGTGTGCCATTTCAGAGTAAATACTAAACAGTTTATTGTGGGAATTATACATGTATCAATACCAAAAGGACATCACATTCATTCAATTAAGCTGAAAATAATTTTTTAGATATTGTTAGTTTTTTAATTAAAATCCACTCTTGCAGGGAAATCTTTAGATTATTACCAATAGGATCCTAATTCTTCAGATGAATAGAACAGATCCAAGAAACCATTGAGGTGGAAAAAGTTATTTTGTTTTTAATTATTTTTTTAAAACATGTATGCTATTTGGTTTTATAACCAACTGAATAATTCTTCCTGTTAAGACACAAATAAGAAAAGTGTACTTCTCAGAAAAGCTAGATTGATCTAAAAAAATAGGAAGAAAAGAAAAGAAAAGATGTAAGCCTATACAATTGAGATGAGCTAGGGCTGACATTGGCAAATGAATGAATGAATGAATAAATAAATACCCATAGCCACTCAAGTTAGCCAGAAGCTGAGATTGTGTGTTCTTGTTTGATCACAATCATTAATGCCTCTCTGATTATAATATTCTAGCAGTTGTATTTATGCCCTGTGATAAGCATTATAACATGCTATCGGCTGCTAGGACATTTTTCCCTCTCACTTTTAGACTTTCCTCATTCTAAGAGCATAGTGATTTGCTAGTATTCAGGTGTTATATATGCTTTCACCATCTCATTCCCACTGTTATTAAGAATTATTAGAGCATTTTCTCAAATTTAATCTTCTGAAATTTCCTATGTCAGTCTTTGAAATAAAAGTAATAATTTGGAAAGTTGAAAGCACAGAAGCATTGAAAATTTATTTGCTTGATTTGTTTGCACTTGAAAGTGATGATATAAAATTTATTTGTAGCAAATTGAAACACATATCCACAAATTAACTGACTATAATGCCACCTGTAAATCGAATAGTAAGTTATAAAGCACACAGTGACACACACCAGATACAGATATGTCTGACTAGCAAGGACTGCTTCCTACTGGGCCAAGTTATCTCTGCAGGAAACAGCTTCCAGCTTCAACATTTTAGGTTACTTAAAGGCAAAAACAAAAACAACAACAAAAAAAAACATCCAGGTTATGTGTCATGTCACAGGAGAAAGAAGCCCTGACAAAGAAGATAGAAGTCGGGGCAACTTGTGCTGAGGCAGAAGAAAGAAAGTTTGTTACTCTGAAGAAGTGAGAAAACAAAAGCACATGTAGGAGCAACAGTGCCCCAGGAAGGAGGCAAGGGAAGTTTTCTGGGAAGTAAGGAAGAGTGAAGACGGGAGACAGAAAAGTAACAGGACTTTGGAGTCTAGCAGACTTTAGGTCACAGGGAGGAATCTTGAGGCTCATCCCACATGTCACCCCAAAAGAATAAATACCATTCAGTGTGTCAGATGATCAGAGCTGACGCTATACTCCTTATCATAGGGACACTCAATGACAAGATTATAGATACTCTGGGTCTCAAGTTCTCTTGGTTAATTAGCTTGTTGACTGGAAAAAACATGTCTTAATCTTCCCGGCATTTATCTCACTTCCAGGCTCCCAAAGACCTAAACATGGAGTCCCATCCTGCTTTGTGATTTCCCCAAAACATCCCTCTAAAAGCTGCAAGTTGTTTTTTGAGATCATTAAAGATGCCCAGATGAGTAGGTACTGGGGTCATAGTCCAGAGCCTGAGTGTCCCTCAAACTACTGTGGAGGAAACAAATAACAGGGCAGCCAGAACCTGCCCTCTTTAGAAAGGCTTACCTGCAAGACAGGCCTTTGATTGGAGTCTCAGAACTTGGATTTCTTGAGTTCCCATCCATTACCATGTTATGGTTTGGATGTGGGGTGTTCCCCAAAAGAAAGCTCACGCATGAGAAAATGCAAGAAGGTTCAGAGAAGAAAGGATTGGGTTATGAGTGTCTTAACCCAGTCAGCAAATCAATCACCTGATGGGATTAATTGAGTGGTAGCTGGAGGAGTTGGGGCACTGGGGCTATAACTTTGGGGTATACATTTGTATCTGGTGAATGGAGTCACTCTCTCTGCTTTCGGATTTTCATAGGAACTATTTCTCTCCACCACATTCTTCCACTCTGATTTGCTGCCTTACCTTGAGCCACAAAGAGTGGAACCTATTATCTATGTACTGAGACCTCTGAAACCAACAGTGAGCCTCTGGGTATACTTTTCCTCCTCTAAAATTGTAGAGGAGGAAATTGCTTGTTAAGTTTTTTACTCACCGCCATGAAAAAGCTGATTAAATTATCCCAGAATGTCTCAGAGTGTCTCACTGTGCCTGAAGCATTGTATAAACAGTACTGTTTAGTCTAAACATCTATTTTCCATCCAGAAGCCTGGAATTGCAGTATATTCTAGACAGAAACTGCCTACTTTGCCAGCACCCAATAAATAATCCTGAATACTAACAAATAATCCTGAATACTAAGTTTCTAATGAACTTCCTCAGTATGCCTTATAATACATGTGTTGTCACAGTTTCTTACTAGAGGCATTAAGCACATCCTTTGTGATGCCATCAGAAGAGGACCCTTGCAAGCTTGCACCTGGCCTTCTCCAGACTTCACCTCATGTGTTTTTTTGTTTTTTAATGTTTGCTGATTTGCTTTGTATCCTTTCACTAGGCTCAACTATGGCTGAGTGCTACCATATCCTGAGTCCAGTGGTGACTCCTCCTAGTGACTCATGGAAACAGGATGGGAGTAGTAACATAATGTGTGCCAACTACAAGTGTTGTGAAAATTAAATGAGATATTGCCTACAAAGTAATCAGCACACTGAGGCATATATCAGGTGCTTAATAAATGCCTCTTCTTTCTTCCTCCCTTTAATCTTTCTAAACAATTGAATTTTTCCTCTCATTAATTCTTATTACTGATTTCTTCATTATAAAATGCTTAACATGGTCTCTTCACAGCAGTTTGCAAGATACAGGGGAACACAGTGAATCAGATCCTCTCTCCTGACTTCGTAGTCTAGTGTCTAAAGTTGTCTGTCCCAGTTGCTTTTTGTGTGTGGGCTGGCTCAATACCTCAGGGTCAAGAAAGTCCTAACCTCTCTTCAAAAGATATACATGAGCCCCTGATCCTTCAAGGACAAACCACTGTTTAGAACAGTTTTCTAGAGTAGTTCTCAAAGAAGAAGAGCTCATGCCTGTAATTTCAGTTACTCAGGAGGTTGAGGTAGGAGGATCACAAATTTGAGGTCATCCAGGACAACTTAGTGAGACTGTATCTCTAAAGTATAAGCAAATAAACAAATAACTAAATAAATGTGTTCTTTGGCAGTCTCCATTTATAAGATGAAGAATTTACCTACGTTTCTAGTCTGGAATGAGGATTCCTATGAAAATCTCATTTTATAATCTAGAATAGCAACCTCATGAAACAGTAGCTTCAAATAGAGAACCAGCCTATGGGCCTTAACAACACCAGACCTGGAGCAGAGATTCCTCATGACTTGGCTCAGAGTTCAATATACATAACAGAGTCTTGAATAACCAGACAACAGATACCACAATTTCAATTGCAGCTTGAATTCCATCGCAATGGAATGAATTCTGAAAAAAAATCTGAAGTCCTGATCCCTGAGTCTTAATTTCAGAGACCAGAGCAGATGGACTAGGTAATCTGATCTCATTCTTCAGTCAGCATCTCAGAGAACTGACCCAGAGACAGAGGACCTGAATCCAGGTCACGGCAGGCACCATAGCTCACACCTAGAAACAGAGTTCAAAGCAAAAGTTTTGGTCAAGATCCTGAGTCCAGTCCAGAGAGCAGATGCCAGAACATACAGACCAAAGTCTACCAGAACCTAGAGTCCATACAATATCCTGGAAAGGGAAATGACATACAGTGGGGAGGCCATCAGACCTGCCATCTGCATAATGCTCAGTACTCTGAGCGAGTCAGAGATCTGGATGTGGATCCGGTCCCTAAAATGTCAAGATCTTCCTTACCTCTGGAATTTAAAATGCATTTCCTTCAGTCTACAATGGGCTTTCTTGTACTTCTATACTTTAGAACTGTTTCTCTTCCCCAAAAATGCACAATCTCTGGATGTTCTCTACATTATTATTTTTTTCTTCATAGCAGAAATTGTGCTAATATAAATTTTACTTACCCCATCAAATTGTCATCTCACAAAGGAAATTATTCTCCTTAGTCTCCCTCCATCTTGTCACAGAGAATGACATATAGCAGATTTGGGGTAGTAATCT